GTTTTTCTACACACCCCAACCCTCCCCCCCCCCCCCAGAATAATCTTTTTATATATATTCAGTTCTTCGATTTACAGGTTCGAAATTTTACAAGTTCCAAAGTTATGAGTTCAGAGGTTTATGTGTTTGGAGGTTTATGAGTTTAGAAATTATAAAGTTTACGGGTTCGAAAGTTCGCGGTTTCGAAAGTTTAGCGGTTCGGACGTTTGTGAAATTCGTGAGTTCGGAAGATTGTTGGTTCGAAAGTTTATGAATTCATGTTTATTGTATCTAAATTATTTATGAATACTCTTGAGAAGTTATTTTCCTTAATTTGCGTACCAAACACCGGAAAATGAATAGATTACTACTTGATTTCCAAGAAAATATTTTCTTGAAAAATATTTTTTGCGGAAAACATTTTCCGCTATACCAAACACATCTTTAATGATTCAGATCTAAAAGACAAACATATGTAATGTCTCATATCTGAATGATTAAGATTCATACCTCCGTTAAGTACAAACAAATGAGGCAGTAGAACCCTATACAAAATTGAGCACATTTGCCCTTCGTTAATACTTTAACTTATATATGCCCTTACCGTCACATCATTGGTCCATATATGCCCTTTTCAAACAGAATCCACCCAAACTAATTAGCTATTTCGTTAACTATACTAAAGTGTATTACAAACGCTATTTCATTTTTATTAGTACCTTTTTTTTCTTTACTTTCTCTTTTCTTTATTCTTTTTTTTTCTTTTTCTTTCTTTTTCTTTCTCCCATATCCAAGTTCCTCTATTGCTGATGCCTTCTCTATTTTTGTCACCAATTTCACTTGACAAAACTCATGAATTCCTGCTAATTTTACTATCACAAAACCCACAGGTTCTTATCTGAGAAATTTTTTCGGTGGTGTTAATTGGGTGAAGGTAGGTATGGTTATTCGGATTTTGAAGGTCTTTTTCTCTTCAGATTTGAAGCTCCACAGTGAACAACACCTTCAAAATCTGAATAACTATATCCCACCTTCACTAAATTAACACTACCAAAAAAATCTGATAATTTTCACCTCCTTCTTTTCAGAAGAACCAGGGCCTTCTCGCTAGGAAGCGTTTGGTGGTGTAGGTTTGAGTTTTAGGAATAAAATCACATGAAATTAGTGACGAAAATGGAGAAGGCATCAGCAAAGGTGAAAATCGGATATGGGGGAAAGAAGAAGGGGGGAAAAGATAGAAGAAAAGAAGAAAGAAAAGAGAAAGGCAAAAGAAAAAAAAGTAATAATAAAAAGGAAATAGTATTTGTAATACACTTTAATACAATTAAAGAAAGAGCTAATTAGTTTGGATGGATTCTATGTCGAAAAGGGCATATATGGACCAACTATGTGACGGTAAGGGCATATATGAGCAAAAGTATTAACGAAGGGAAAATGTGTTCAATTTCATATAGTACAAGGACATATTTGGACTTTTTCCCTTTAAAAAATAATTAAATTTATATTGTTTTTAAAGTTGAACGTCAGACTCAATAGAATTGATCGTCTAAAGTTTCCCGTGTGTCTTGATTTTTATATATACTATTGGGTTTAAGCTTGGGTAGCTTAAAATAAATGGTGAATGGGAAATGGGGGAAAAATGAAATATTTGAGTTTCCCTCTTTGGCAAAGGGACATTGTCCAGTATTGGAGGAAGAAAAGACTTTTGATGGGTATATATACAATTGCTCTTCTCCTAGCTCTTAAAGAGCCGAGAAGAAGGCAAGCATCGCACCGTCGTTGTCGTTGCTCGCTCGTCTTGGCTTTGGTTCCGGTTTCGGTTCCGATTCGACTTCGGATTCGGATTTGATCAATGATCGATTGATTGATTAATCTTTTTGGACAAAATTTCTTTCAATTATTTAATTAATTAGCAAAAATTCAATCTGGAATAACCCAGGACCCGTGAAGCGAACAGTTCAGTCCATTTTCTTTCCCGGATTATTTTTAAATATGTTTTCCCACAATATTTCAAACAGAAATATTCTCATTTATTCCAACAGTCATGGCTGTTTCTGAAAGGTTGCAAACCTTTTCAGAAACAGTGCTAGAAAGGCTATAAATATGCTTTGAATCCAAGAATCTTTCCTTACGAAATTTTCTAATCTTCTTCTTCTTCTTCTGCACAAAATTTCCAGTGTGTTTTACAGCCTTCGAGTCGTTCGTTGTTTCATCGGCGTTTTTGGTACCAACACTCCGGTGAGTTAAATAGTTCTATCCTCGGAGGATAATATTCCAGCACCTCCGGTACTTGAGGGGAATAATTTCCTTAAGGACACACTATGCATTCAGTGGGTTCGATTTATTTCGAAATTATTTTCAGATAGTATTTCGACATTCAGTTGCTACTAACTTTCTGTTTATGTTTCTATTTCAGAAAGTTTACGATTTCGTTGTTTATTATAGTAATACAGATTGACTAGCAATCTTAAGGAATTAATTTTATTCGTAAATTGTATTCTGTTTGTGGAGATTAAAACATGTGTGGTTTTCTACTCCTTCTGAATTTTTCTATTCTGATTTGAAGATATAAAATCTTCATCGGAGTTTTGAAATTCAAAAATGATTTGAAGAACATAAAAACTTCATCGTTTTCTGTGAAACAGTATATAGAAACTTTGGTTTTTATTTATTAAACGTACTATTTATCATTAATAACAATATTGTTCTGTTTTTTTGCCATTAATTGAACTCTTATGTTGTTGATAGTAAAAAATGGCAATTGATAACAGAAATTCTTCTGCAACTGTTACGGCAACGACGATAGCCTCGCCAAGCCAAACTGTTGTTCCACCGGTCGAAAAACTGGGGAAATTTTCTGGAGCCAACTTCACAAGATGGCAGCAAAGGGTGTTTTTCTGGCTTACCACACTTGGTATGTTGAAGTTCGCCGATGAAGACCCTGGAGTGCCGACATCCGACATGCCGGATAATGAGAGGTTTATGATTGTTGAGGCATGCAAACAGGTAGGCTTTCTTTGCAAAGGATACATCCTAAGTGCTTTGGAGGATGGCTTGTACAATGTCTACAGTGCTGTGAAAACTTCGAAAATTATGGGTCGCACTTGAGAAGAAGTACAAGACTGAAAATACATGCTTGAAGAAGTTTGTGGTTGCCAAGTTTCTAGACTATAAAATGATAGACATCAAAATCGTTATAACCCAAGGTCAAGAACTTCAACTTATTTTTCACGACCTTATTGTTGAAGGTATGGTCGTGAATGAATCATTTCAAGTGGCTGCAATGATTGAAAACCCACCTCCTTCGTGGAGAGATTTCAAAAACTATCTTAAGCACAAGCATAAAGAAATGAAGTTGGAAGATCTTGTGATTCGTCTCAAGATTGAAAATGAGGAAGACAACAAAACAATCGAGAATAAGTCTCATGAAAATTAAACGATTATGGGAGCCAATATCATTGAGGAGACTGCTCCAAAAATTAAGAAAAGGAAGAGGTCCTAAGGACAGACTAAAGAGCAGAACAAAAAGAAATTCAAGGGCAACTGCTACAATTGTGGAAAAGCCGGTCACAAATCCCCTGATTGTCGTGAAGTCATTGTTTGTTTATATGTTGATGACATATTGATAATGAGCAAAAATATGGCAGATATAAATGCTACTAAGCGCATGTTGGCTAGCAAATTCGACGTGAAAAACTTAGGGGTTGCTGGTGTGATCTTAAGAATCAGAATTCACAAGACTCCACAAGGTCTAGTATTATCATAGTCTCGCTACATTGAAAAGGTACTTGACAAGTTCAAGTATTTGGATTTCAAAATTACCAAGACTCCAATTGACGTGAGTTATGCACTTCAAAAGAATGAAGTGAAAGTGACTCAAAATTAAAGTCCGCGAACCAGAAATCCGGGTAAGGAATTCTGTTAACCGGGAGAAGGTGTTAGGCACTCCCGAGTTCCGTGGTTCTAGCACGGTCGCTTTGATCATACTTGGCTTATTAAATTATTTACTTACTGATTTGGAACCTATGTGCATTTTACGCTTTTAATTAGAAAATTATCATGAAACGGGTTACACGTACGTATACCCATTTGTTTGGCGCATCAAAAATCGTGTCACGCGAACGTGTCCACAATTAATAACGCTTTATTATTAAGAAATTTCGGACGAAGTTGCGCGAACGCATACTCCGGTTTTGTTTTTAGAAATCGTGACCATGTCACGCGAACGTGTTCACAACCACGATAGTATATTAAGTGGGCCTAGAGCAATTACGCACTTTCAAGTTTGCGAGGGCCATGGAAATTCAGCTAATGGCACACCTCGATTCTAATTTTAAAGGAAGTTCAAAACTAAACTTTCTAGGGCCATAAATTATACATTTGGCTAATTTGGCACGCCCCAATTTTATTAAAGGAAAAAGCATTCAACTAAGAATCACGAACTAACAACCCAATCGAAATCAAATATTGATTAAACAGAACTCAGTTTTTATAAACCATGAATTTACATAGCATATTGTTGCATCCTTTCCACGGTGGGAAAATAAATTATGACAAAAATATAGCTAAATGCTGGAGACTTTAATGAATGACCAAATTAGAATTAAATATCAGGCAAGTCCTTCCAATTTCGAGCAAATCAGAAGTTAAACATCCATGCCCAATACTCTGAAAATCAACTACAGTGTTGCAACGGGAAAAGCATCCACATAATCTAAGAAACAATAACTCAATTCTAGAATATTTAAATGGTTGAATAACCAAGCATTAAGAATGTCGAACCAAAATCTATTTAGTAACTTCACCAAATATTTCAATGGAACTCAAACCAGAATCGCTTCTTTAAGAATGTATTTCCTTGAATAATTATCAAATCTAGAATTTAACACTCCAATAGAACAAAGTAGAAAAGTAGAAAAGCGTCAACATGGAACATCGATAACTCAAACAAAATTTAGAGGCTCATATTATATTTCAATCACATATAGATTATCAAAATGAGAAAGAGAGATGAGATAGACCTTAACAATGAGGATTCAACCAAGGAACAGCAACGAGACCCAACAGAAAACCAGTCGGACCGGCGAATTCGAACGGAAACCTCGAACCGCAAACCGCTTCAACAGACCTCCTTTAAACCTCACTGTTGGGCCATTTGGAGCTGTTGTTTGGTGCAAATAACTCCTATTTTTACTAGGTTTCAGGGGTGTGTGTGCGTGAGAGGCTCTTGGAAATTGGGAATTGGGTAAGGTCGATTTCTCTTTTTGAAGTTGGAGTTTATGACCACTTTTCTGTTTTGTCTAGGGGTTGGGCGTTCTTTGCTCAGTAGCTGATGATGGAGTTCTTCGTCGTTTGGTTTCCGGGGGTGGTGGGGTGTGAAGAGGATGAGGACGTGAGGGGGTAGGGGGTCTCCTGTGAAAGTTGCGCTACTGGGTATAAAGAGGGGAAAGGTTAAATGGTTAATGGGTCAGAGGTCTGGGCTGGGTAGACATAGGGTAATTGGGTCATTGTATTTGTTTTTGGGATTTTTTTCCTAACTATACTACATATGAAGCTTTATTATCTTAAATGTGCACAGTTTGTTAATTACCCGCCTAGTTCACAAGTTTACTACAATTTATATACCATTCAACTATTAGGCATTAAAATGGCAGAATATTCCCTAAAATACGCGCTAAAATTAAGGAGAGAATCTTGGTGTTAATTGATTCTACATTAAATTCAATTTTTAAAAAGGGAAAGGAGATTTCTCATCTGCGTATTTTTCTCCAGATCAGATTTGATTGGTAGGCAAAGCCATTGGAATTTTTTTCGTAATTCAAAAAAAAAAAAGACTAAAAGCTTCAACAAACTGAAATCAAATCTGTTCTTCATCTTTTTTTTCTCAATACACAAATCAAAAAAATAATAAAATATAGAACAATACCTCAACAACAACACTCAATCGTGTCTAAAATCCCAATCATACAATTGAATGGGAAAAATCTGATTATAAAAAATGGGTCTCATCTCTGTATTTTTTGAGAATAAGAAGGAATGGAGAAGAGGAAGTCTGATTTTATGTTAATATCTACAAAATTCCTACATTTATCTACAAATAAACTACAAATTAGTTTTAGTATTGTATAAAGTTGTATTGTTTTTAAGGGTATCTACAAAATTGCTACATTTATACGACAATTAAACTACGATCTATGTTGAAAAAAAATGTTGACTACAAAATTTTCTATTCATCTATAAAATTTCTACAAAAAAACTACAAATAAACTATAAATCAGTTTTAGTATTGTATAAAGTTGTATTGTTTTTAAGGGTATCTACAAAATTACTACATTTATATTACAATTAAACTACGATCTATGTTGAAAAAAAATGTTGACTACAAAATTTTCTCTTGACCTACAAAATTTCTTCAAAAAAACTACAAATAAACTACAAATCAATTTAAGTATTGTATAAAGCTGTATTGTTTTTAAGGGTATCGACAAAATTACTACATTTATACTACAATTAAACTACGATCTATGTTGAAAAAAAATGTTGACTACAAAAGGTTTCCTATGTGGCATAGGAATGTAAAAATCCCCAAAAAAAATAGGGTTTCAAGATCCATAATACAGCTACTAATCACTAAGACGTGCAGAAACAAAAACAAGAAAAGATGAAGAAACAGAAAGAAGAGAAGAAGGATTTCTGTGCACAAGTTACTGCTAAGCTTCTGTTTATTCCCATGACAACGATACAACAATTAAAATATGGATATTTTCTACCAAAATCATCTCTTCTTTGCTATAAACTTCTGAACCCTCGTTGTATCAACTTCTACCAGACCATTAGCGTAGTTGGAGATAGTTAGTATATCCCACCAATTGCGGTTGAGAATATCTCAGGAATTATGGGGATAGAGAAATGTGGGATATATGGATACCTTTAATTAAGGAGTAAAAACTGCCCATTAATTAGACCCTTAATTAAGTATGGTATAGGATTGGTAATTTGGTATACGGGTTTGTAATTAAATCAAACCTTGAACATTAAGGGTAATAAGGTTTCATATGTGGTATAGGAATGTAAAAATCCCTTTGTTCTTTGGGGTGGCCCAATACACTAAAAAGAACAACCTTTTCTTTTGTTTTCTTTCTTTTTCTTTTTTTTCTTTAATTAATTAAAATCTTAAACTAAATTCCTAAATTAATTCAAATCGTAAAATTATACTGATTATTTAACTACGAAGTTTACAAAAAATTAATTGATCCAAAATTTAAAGAGAAAAATTAAAAATTCAAAATTTTAAAGCTAAGAATGTAAAAATGGGTCATTTTTGTGATTTTCATTTTTAATAAAGCAACTAACTAATTGATTAATCCTAAAATGTGAATAAAATCTAAATTCAATGCATGGTATTTTTGGAATTTTTGATTTTCAATGGAAATTAAATATGCACAATAATGCAAATAATTAACAAAATTCTACGAAAATTCCTATAAAATTGCAAAAATTGGAAAAAATTATTTTCTGATATTTTATGGGAGCAATTCATATAGGGCAAAAATCACGTGCTCACAGTTGTCCCTCTTTGCTCGGAAACACGAAAAGTTTTCGTGCAAAGATAAAGTGAGCGGATACGAGCGATTTTTGCCCGTTTGAATACTCCGCGGGAAGCATTTTTGAAAGATTTGACCGAACCTTGCTTCCGAGGTTGCCTACATATCCTTGGCTGTAAAGGAATCGGTCAGTGTAGTTCAGAAGTGAGTGAGATAATGGAGTATGCCGAGGTGGTTAGCCAATCGTGGTGCCGTTCCGCCGAGGTTCCGGTCCGCGGTCCTGTTATTACATCAAAAATAAAACATGAAAAAAAACTAAGCCTGTCAACTATGAGTTACAAGATTCCTATCTATAAGTCTTCTGAAGCTTGATCTTGAGTCTTGTGTGGTTCTTCATGCAGACTTTAGATTTGAACCTTGATGCTTGCTAGTTGCAGGTGCTAGTTCATCATTCTTCAGCTTTTCGAATCAAGACCAGGTATGCAATTCTTGTGACCTCGGTTAGTCTTGAGCAACCCACATCTTTCATCAACTTCTGCATTTGGATTAACTTCTTGCCTTTCTCTTTTTTCTTTTTCTTTATTGTGACTAACTTCTGTTGATCATCTTTGATTGTTGACTCGTGTTCTTGCCGTGAGCTTCTTTTGTTACTGACTTGCATTGCATTCTGAAGTGAATTCGCTTATCTCCAGGTAGGCACCTGATTGCCAATATTCGAACTGTCTTTCTTTGAACATTGTTGCTTCCCTTGAAATTTGTGTTATCTTCTTTTGAAACTTGAATTGCTTTCCCTTTGTTCTCCAGGTGGGCGCCTGATTGCTGAAACTTTCTGTGTTCCCTTGCTTTCTATGTGGGTACCTGCAATCAAAACAAACAAAAAAAACGAAATTTTCTGCCCCAGTTTGCACTAGGAAGATTTGTGAGTTGTTAGCAAAATTATAAACCGCTTATACTATTGATGCAATGCTGAGAGTAAACTAAAGACTAGACTAGGATATGCGTCTCCTACGAGTAAAACCAAGAAACTTTGACTAGCAAATGTGTCTGCTAAAATAAACCTAAATGAACCAAACTAGGAAGTGCGTCTCCTAGGGGTGAATTTAATGACCAAGACTAGGAAGTGCGTCTCCTAGGGGTGAATTTAAATGACCAAGACTAGGAAGTGCGTCTCCTAGAGGTAAAATCTCAATTTAGGAAGTGCGTCTCCTACAGGTGTATTCTGAAAGACCTAGACTGAGAAGTGTGTCTCCTAGGGGTGAAATCTCAATTTAGGAAGTGCGTCTCCTACAGGTGTATTCTGAAAGACCCAGATAATGACAGGCTATAATTACGTATTTTAGTCGTTTATTACACTCTAATTTACTGCACTTTAATTGAGTTTGAGCTTTAATCGCCAGTATCTTGCGCTAATTATGTGTTGTATGCCTTGTAGGAGTGATTCTGAGCTATATAGATGTTATGGAATGAATTCAAGTGATTTGGAGCTTTGAAGTCTGAGTAAAAGCTCAAGGAATTAAGCCGGGATCGTGTTTGGGGGTCAACGGATGATAGTTAGAGCGAACGAAGAATCGAGTAAGTATATCGCGCACGGTCTAGTAAAATAGATATAAATTTTTTCTTAGAAGTCAATTTGGGCTGCACAATATATGGTTGGAAAGCTAACTCAAAGGGCTACAACTTTCATGTTTTACGATTTTCCAAATTCCAAATGGAACAGGGTCAAAAACGCGATTGAAACTGCAACTACGGACCTGACGCGGACGGAGACAGAATATAACCCAACTAGCGCGGCCTTAGCGTTGGCTTAGCGCGGCCACGCTAGTCCAGACGGAAAAACAGATCTGAAGGGTACTTTTGGAAGTTCAAGACCAATCCCCTCAACCTATAAAAGGTTTAGTTCGTCCAAAGGAGCAAAAAATAAGTTTTTAGGTTTAGAACAAGGAAAAAAACAAGAGACACAATAGGAGCAAGGCGGGGAATTCTTCAACAAGTTTTTCCTTCCTCTTCTTATTTTTCATTGTTGGTTATGACTTTTAGTATTGTAGTTTTACATACTATTATGAATAGCTAATTTGTTATCTAAAGTTTTGGATGAAACCCGTTGGGGATGAATTGGTTGTTATATTAATATAGTTTTGAGTTGGTTGTTAATCTCTATTTGTTCAACTACGTTTTGATTTTGGTTAATTGAAATGATCCTCAATTAGCCGTTCCTATTTATTATGTATCTGCTTGAGAGAGAGTGCATATTTAGGTAGTTGTCTGAACAACATCACTCCCGGAGTATAGGCGAAAGTCATAACCTAGGGTTTAGAGGTTGGATTAGAGATAACGATATCTCGGGTGCAATTTAAGTGAACTATAATGTGAATCTAGCTAGCGTAGCTTGAGAGAGTGCGTCTAGTAAATTATCATAATTGCTTGAGAGAGATTTATGATAGCTGGAGAGTTCATGATTGATAGAGGCAACTAAGTCAACGCTGTAAGAAACATACAACCAAGGAAATCAACGACGGGGGAAATCATAACTCTAGACCTGCTTAATTTAGTCTCCAACCCTTTGTTTCGTTAGTTGATAATTTTACTGCTTTCTAGTATTTGCTAGTTAATTAGTTAGAAATATAAATCGCAATCTTTATAATTTAGAAAATTGTTCAATCTTGTCTTCTTGGTGATATTAAACAGATACAACTAAGCCTTAGTTCTCTGTGGGATTCGACTCCGGACCTTTAGACCGGATTATATTTGCAGCGACCGCTTATCCTTTTTAGGACTAGAGTTGGGCGTGATCAAATTTTGGCGCCATTTGCCGGGGAACTAACGATGTAGTTGTAGCTGTATATATTGTTAGGTTACGAGTTTGAACTTTTCTTTTGTTTTGTTTTTTTTTTGTATTTTTTATAA